GCCATTCAACAAATGAACACGTGGCGGCGGCCATCTTTAATTCAGCTGAAGTTTTACCTTCTCCAGACTTCAATGCATTCGACAGTTCGAATGCCATTCGACAGTTCGTTCGAATGTTCATTCGACAGTTCGACAATTCGAATGGTTGTCGTTTGTCTGTTTGAACTGACTTTAACATGGGAAATAGACCGACTGCACAGCCTGATCTCTGGAACTGTTTTGGGCATGAAAATATGCTTGCGGTCGGTCATAAAGGACTCCCAGCTAACTTTTTATCTACTGGGGGGGTTTGTATGATTTTTGGGTATGTTTATAGTTAAAGTATTCTGATTCTGATTATGTATGTTTTATGTGAATATGATGCATATTTTTTTTTTTATTATTTGCATTTTGTTATATCAACAAATGGATATTTGTGGGGTTATCCTATATTGCGGTGGTGTAGGGCTTCATCCGTATGTGGTTGCTATATACGTCTCCCATCGTTTTTCCGCGCCATTATTTCATATTGTTTCGTCAGATGTAATGCTGTTAGGCAATGAGCTACTTTCGATGGGTTTGGGTCGCGCCAATGTCTGCTAATTGTTTGGAGGGCCGCTACTATTATATGATATATGATGTATGTTTGGGTTCTATGAAGATCTTTTGGAAATAGTTGTAGTAAATATATTTCGGGGGACTGCTGGAGGTTAACCCCCGTGCTCTCCCGTATGATGGTTGTTATGTCTGACCAGTATTGCTTCAATTCCTGGCATGACCACCAGATATGTAGCATGGACCCTTTGTCATTTAAGCAGCGCCAGCATGTGTCTGGCATGTTGGATTGCCTTTCTTAAGCCGTACTGGTACTATGTACCATCTGTACAAGATCTTTCGCGTGATCTCCATATGGGAGGCGCACAATGAGAGACTCTTATGTGCCTGAAATATTTGGGCACATTGGCTCTCAGTAATTTGGTTTCCAATTTCTCGGTCCCATGCTTTTGTGAACGTATGGACTTGGGATCCTGCCATGGTGCTATATGTAGCATAGACCAGAGATATCAGTTTATTGCGTGGTTTTAAATTAAGGCTTATTTTTTCCACCTCCGTCAGCTGTAGACCATTTACAGGATTGTACGAGCAGATCTTTTGTGTTTTAAACCATGACATAAGTTGCATGTATGAAAAAAGTGCTGTGTTGGGTACCCCATATTGTGTTTGGATTTCAGCAAATGAATTCAGCACTGGACCCTGGCATAAGTGGAAAAGGTGTGTGATGTTGTGGTTGTGCCACAGCCTCGAGTTAAATCCAGGGATAGTCATGGCTAATGTTTCTAGGGGCATTGCTAAAGAGGTGCCCCCTTTTGTTATGTGTGTGTCCCCAAACTGATCCCATATTCGTAGCGTGAGTTTTGTTGTGGGGAGGATGTCCTTGTGTTTTGGTCGTAGTTTCCTAGACATCCAGGCCAGGGCCGATATGGTAAAGTCGTTAGTGTAGATCGCTTCTAGCTGCACCCATTGGGGGGCTTGGGGTTGCCATTGGTAGCTAGCACCTGGCCCAGGATGGCCGCTTTGTAGTAGTTGGTTATATTTGGTAGGCCCATGCCTCCCAGCGGTTTATGGTTTATATAGGGTGGATTTCGCAGTCCTAGATCTAGCGTCGTTCCATATAAACGAGTTAATTACCTTCTGTATTTCACATAGGTTGCTATTGGAGACTACTAGAGGGATAGTTCTGAATAGGTATTGTATTCTCGGGAGGAGTAGCATTTTTGCTGCTGCTATCCTGCCCACCCATGAGATAAATTTCCCTTTCCAGCTATGTATGAGAGTTTTGAGCTCTGTGAGAAGAGGGGTGTAGTTTGCTTTATGGATGCCTGCTAAGATCTTTGTCAAGGCTATCCCTAGAAACGTGAGGTGGTCCGTGCGCCATTCATATGCGAACGTTTCTTTGAGGTGGTTCAACTCCGGCTGTGGGATGTTAATTCCCATTGCTTGTGCTTTAGAAATGTTTAACTTGTACTATGAACAATTTCCATATTGGTGAATCAGCTTGTGTAGTGTGGTTAGTGAGACCTGTGGGTTTTGTAGTGTAAGGAGGATGTCATCCGCAAATAGTGTGAGTTTGTATTCTGTTTTTTACTCTGATGCCTTGTATCTTGGGGTCATTTCTGATTGTGTGAGGGGTTCTAGAGCGAGTATGTACAATATCGGGGATTGGGGGCAACCTTGGCGGGAGCCATTGGATATGTTAAGGCTGTTTGAGGAGAAGCCCCCATTCACTACCTGGGCCGAGGGACAGGAGTAAGGGGCGTATATCAGTGCGGTGAATCGTGGGGGGAATCCAAATTTCCCTAGGACTGCGTGGAGGAAGGGCCAGTGGAGGCGATCAAAAGCCTTTTCAGCATCCAATGATACTAATACACTTGGCGCGCCTCCCCAGCAAATCCAGCACCTTCCTCACCCCATCTGCTCCCTGGCGTCCCCTCACAAACCCCACTTGGTCTGCGTGTATTAGTGTGGGTATGATTGGGGCCAATCTGTTGGCGAATATTTTAGCTAATACTTTTGTGTCCGTGTTGAGGAGTGAAATCGGACGCAAATTTTGGCTCTTGTTTGGTGGTTTCCCTGGTTTGGGGAGTGTCACTATGTGTGCCATGAGCATTTCTTTTGGCATTGTGCCCGTTGAAATGATGTGGTTGTACACCGGAGTCAAGTGGGGGGCTAAGATTGTGGCGAATGTTTTGTAATAATAATTTGTTAGGCCATCTGGTCCCGGGGATTTCCCGGACGGTAAGGATGCTATTGTTTGTAGTATTTCTTGGGTGGTTATGGGCAGGGCCGGACTGGGACAAAAATTCAGCCCGGGCAATTAAAGGCAGATCAGCCCACTATTAGGGGCGGGGCCAGAAAGGGGGCATGTCATGTCACCACCATTGACACGCACACCCCCTTCCCCCCCACCAAATGAGTATGTTAATGTGACGCTCCTCCAGAGCATCCAGTGCTCCTGGCTAAAATAAATGCCATGAGGTTTTTCTAGGGGGCAAGGGGGGTTGAGTTTGTGCTGCGTTTGCTGGCGATTTGTCTCTGGTGTCCTCAATAGTGGGATACCAGAGATCAAAACAGAAACCGGACTGTTAAAGAGTGTTGTACATGTGTGGGGATGTTCCTTGTGTTGTTGTATATGTTTGGACATTGCATGTGTGTAGAGCAATTGTGTGTGTGAAGGGGTCTGTTTGTGGCGTACTGCATGTGACTAGGGGCTGTAGTGTGTGTGTCTCTGGGTTGTAAAGTATGTGTGTTTGTGTGTGTGTATTTATATAGGGCCTGTGGAGTGTGTGCATGTAAGGAGCTGTACTGTGTGTTTGTGAGTGTATCTAGGGGCTCTAGTGTGTGTGTATGCATATAGGAGCTGTAGAGCACATGTGTATAGGGGGGATAATGTATGCATAGGTGGTGTAGTGTGTACAGGGGGTGCAGAATATGTATTTATAGTCAATATAAATTAGTGTGGGTGCATGCAGGGGGTGTAATGTGTGTGTTAATAGGGGTATAACATATGAGATTGCAGGGAGTGTAGTGTAGTGTAGGTTTATGGTGTATAGAGTGTGTTTAGTGTGTGTATGTGAGTGCCAGGGGACTAGTGTGTATATAAGGGGTATAGAGTGTGTGTAGTGTGTTTGTGTGTAAGTGCAGGAGGTGCAGTGTGGATATAGGGGTCTAGAGTGTGTTAATGCAGGGGCTGTAGTGTGTATGTAGGGGTATAGAGTGTATGCAGTGTTTGTGTGGGTTAGTGCAGGGGGTGTAGTGTGTTTGTGTGTTAGTGCAGTGTGTGTGTGTGTTAGTGTGTGTTAGTGGTGCAGTGTGTGTTAGTGCAGTGTGTGTGTGTGTTAGTGCAGTGTGTGTGTGTGTTAGTGGTGCAGTGTGTGTTAGTGCAGTGTGTGTTTGTGTGTTAGTGCAGTGTGTGTGTGTGTGTGTTTGTGCAGTATGTGTTTGTGTGTTAGTGCAGTGTGTTTTTGCAGTGTGTGTTTGTGTGTTAGTGCAGTGTGTGTTTGTGTGTTAGTGGTGGGGAGCAGAATGTTTGTGTGTTAGTGGTACAGTGTGTGTAGTGTGTTTGTATGTGTGTAATGTGTTTGTGTGTGTATATGGCCTTAAATTATTATTATTATTAAAAAGTAAAAAAAAAATAATAATAATAATAATTCCATTTACTCCCCCTTTTAACTTTGCAGGGGGGGAGGGAGCATTCACATACCTGGTGGTCCAGTGAGGGGGGGCTACGCCACACACACATCCCTGGCGGTCCAGCGGCAGGTAATTCAGTCTGTACCCCGCAGGGTACAGACAAGGTCTCTCTCCCTCTCGCGAGCGCCGTTTTTTCAGAGCGTTGCCGTGGGTTACCATGGCAACGCTCTGATAATCTCGGAGCTCGCGAGAAGAGGAGAAAGGAAGCTGCTCGGCGTGCGCAGAGGGTGATCGGCTCACTGCCCGATCTCCTCTCCGGCCCATGATGGAATAGAACTCCATCTTGGGGCCGGTGCTGCTGCGCATGGGCCGGTAGGGGAGATCTCTTGATCTTTCCTACCGGCCTTGGTCAATGGCCATCGCGGCCCACCGGGCATTTGCCCGGTTTGCCCGATGGCCAGTCCGGGCCTGGTTATGGGTGCCTGTATCAGTTCTTTTTGTTGCAACGTCAGTGATGGCAGATGCGTGAGGTCTAGAAAGTTCTCAATTTCCATTTCTGTGGGTTGGTGGGTTTTGCTATCTTGCTTTAAATTATATAAGTTGTGATAGAATTTTGGCCATCTCGTCATTGATGTCTTGGGGGTTGTAAATTCTATCCCCTTTATTAGAGATTAAGTAGGGGATTTTGGATTGGGCTTGTTTTTTCCTTAGCAATGCTGCCATAGCTCTCCCCGTTTTGTTGCCCTCGGAGTATTGTCTCATCTTTAGGCGTTGCATTGTGTAGGATGTTTTGGCTAGTTGAATGTCATTTACGCGTCGCGTAGCGGTCGCTATTGTTGTGAGATGAGTTGTATCTGGACTTGTCGTGTGCGCGGCTGTGGCGTCTCTGATTTTGCGCAGCAGGGTCAGATATTCTTTATTGGATGTGCGTTTGACATGTGAGGAAAGGAGCCTCTCATCGTAATTGTGAGTGGCGCGTGGTCAGACCACACTATGTCGCCAATTTCACACTGAGTAGTTCTCGGTATCAGTGTTCCCGATACCAGTATATGGTCTATTCTAGAGAATGAATTGTGGACTTGTGAGTAGTACGTGAACTCTTTTTCAGTGGGGTGGAGTGTGCGCCATGCATCGTGCAGGTTATGTTCTGTCATTAGTTTGAGTATGGCTTTGCTCTGTGTGCCAGTTGTAGTGTGTCGTGGGGAGAGGCCAGGGAGTATTGTGTCTATGCGGGAATCCAATACGTGGTTTAGGTCACCACAGATAACCGTAGCTCCAGGTGACGGATTCGGGAGCTTGTTCAGGATTTTTTGCAAGAATTGTCTTTGTTTGGGCTGTATATGCCTGCCAGTATATATTCAGTATCGTTAATCATGCAGTGCAGTATTATGTATCTCCCTTGTGTGTCTTTATTGATATGCAGTAGTTCAAATGTTAGTGAGTTATGTATTAGGAACGACATCCCCTTGGATTTGGAGGAGTGTGTGGTATGGAACTGGGATGGGTAGTCTTGAAGTCCAAACTTGGGGACTTTGTTGGTCACAAAATGCATTTCTTGGACGCATAGAATATCTATTTTATCTTCTTTTGCCGCTTCTAAAAGGATGCGGCGTTTATGCGGATGATTCAACCCCTCGTGTGTTGTGAGTTCTTATTGTTATAGACATCGGGTTGGGTCGGGATGCTGGGCCAAGACGCCCTGTGCCTCATGCGTGTATACCCTTTCTTGCAGTGGGTGGAGGGTAATTGTAGGGTGGGCATGCGGATCTCTTGATACTGTTCTCTCCTGAAGGTTGATGTGGGGGAGGGGATGTAACCAGGTTAAAGGAACTTGGATGGGGTGAACATGGTTCCCTCCAAGGAGGGTTTGGTGTGGACGGTCCACACCTCGGGAGTGGGAGTCGTTTGGTTCTCCCATGTATGGCTGTTGAGCTCTGTGTGATGTGTGTGTGGTGTGGTATAAAGGCTTGGGTGGTTGAGGTCCCTTTGAATATGCTGGCGTCCAGTTCCCTGTCTAAGTTTGGTGTGCCAGGGTAAAAAGTACATCGCCCGGCTCAGGCGGTGCAGCTTGTGTTGGGCCCCGACCACAGGGGTTCTCATAGGTCTCAGTCTCCATCAGCGCACCTCGTTATGCCTGGTGGTAGATCATACGACCTCTGCCCAGCCCATGTCCGATATGCGCAACCTAACCTCTGTCGTGCATAGGGGCGATGCTAGCCTGCTTCGTCAGTCGTGTGTTGGAGTGGCCCCGGTGGTAGGGATCGCTGCCGGCCTCAGATGGCGGGTCGTTTCTGTCACAATATACCCCTCCTAGAAGACCAGTACACAGAGTATTGCTGAATGTGGCCTATCAGGCTCGTCATCCCACCCCGTGCCCTGTGCACACATCCCGCTAATACCTCTATTGCGGGGTGGTGGCCTTTCGGGCCATTAATATGTGTAGGCGCATGCCGACCCTGAGTTGTGTAGGAAAATAAACCCATGGCGTTTCTATGAGAGCTTCCCGTGTGGTGGGATTGCCTTCAGTTGCTCTGTTTCACAGCCCAGGCTCTGCGTTTAAAAGCATAATGTTGCATACATTACCATTTTAGTATATTACCGCTAGTCCCTGATTTTACACTGGACTTGGTTGTCTATGCACGACCGTTAACGTATGCATCTTATTGTAGCATCTTATACATATAAAACCAATGTAAAGGTTGTTTTGTGAAGCCTTTGTATATTGGAGCCAGTCCCTTCATTTCCAGTCTCTGAGGCAGTCATTGCATTTTAGCAAAGTGGGCTGCTTGTGCTTCACGGCCCATAGACTGGGGCATCCGCTTCGTCTTGTACTCGTTTCATGCATGTTTCGTGGTTGTGTGTGCGTGTGAACATATAAGTGTGAGACTGAGGTATGTGGGGATATTTATGGGATAATAATAGTAAACAGTGAGAATTGCCCACTAATTCAATTCTCAGATCCCAAAGATCGTTATCGTGTTAAGTGAAATGTATTTCATATAAATAATATCACAATGTTATAAAAATAGATTTATTTTATAATAACAAATTAATTAATAATAATATGTAACATGCGTGACAATAATCAATTAGTATTTAATACAACATAGTATACAATGCAATGGAATGGGTATACACGTTTCAATGGCTAAACAGCATTTTCTGTCAAGACTTACACGATTTATGACTATCTTTCACAGAGAGAAAGCGAAGCTTTTCACAGTGAAGGGCCATAAAACCCTGGCTAACAGTTAGAACAACTGAATAACCCTTTCAATGCTGGCTAAATCTCCTAGGTAATTAAGATCTATTCCTATGTAATTTTAAATAAAATAACATTTAAACCAGTTCATTAGTCATTTCCTGGAACCATCCAAGAGAATCTACCATGATTTTTACAAAAGCAGAATTTTAATTTGTCTAAAAGATATCTTATCTTATATTAAAGCAAATCAATACACCTGGATAAAAACAGCGGTATGCTAACACGTGATACTATCACATTAATATATAATTATTCTTAATTCCACCTGCAGAATGGAATGTTTATAACTATATATTCTTTAGTTAACTAAGATTTCTTAATACGGAAATCTGACCGTGATTTATCCAGTCATATATCATGCTATTAGTAAATTTTAATTAATTTAATTAATTAAATGAAACCAGTATAGTTACCACTTATGTAGGTATTTCATCCGATTGGTAGATAGTTTTAGGAACTTATTTGGATGTCTGTAGGTGCATGAGTTATGGTGAAAGGTGGTGTTGGTTAGAAAGTCAGTAAAATTCTAAGTGTTAGAGTTTTAAGAGTAGAGTGTTAGTCTCAGATGTTGTCCTGGGTTTCTCTGCATGTCCGAGTTGGAGTCCCCAAACTTCCAATTCCTCCTCTGTCTTTTCCTTTTTCCTCTTCTCAACCCCTTTGTCCTAACTTTTTAAAGGGAAAATTCACTAGTTGCTAGACCAATAGAAACACTGGGGGTGTGGTTATCTAGGGATCGCAATTTAGGTATTTGGTCTATAGAGGGCAGTCTCGTCCCACTAAACATACCTTTCCAGGAAAGAGTTAACTTTTCCTGGTGGCTATTTTGACGTCATTTTGCTTTATCTTTATAGTGGCCATAATTTAAGTTTTCTGTCAGATAAAACAGTTTCTTTAAGTTTTGTCCAGACTATGTGTCTGTCAAATTCTGAGTTTTGACCCGTAACTTACAATGGGACCTTGTACATATAGAAAGTAAAATTTTATTATTTAATCTTCTCTGTCACAAATGTCTGTGTTTAGATATGCATCTATTCCATTAACATTTTAGACAGTCTGTCCAACCCCCGTTCTCCTTATCACTTGGTTTGTTTATACTATGCATTCCTTTAGCTCTGGCAAAGTGGTTAGTTTTACAGAAAGGATCGAAATTTCGTGCCTCTTTGTTAACTTGAAAATAACAAAATGGAGTCTGGTCTGTTCAGAGTGACTCAAAATATACACTTTTAATTTCTATCATAGCACAAGATGTCTGCCGATATAAATACCCTGACAGGTAATAAATTGTGCGTGAAAAGTAGTGTTGGTTGGTATGTTATAATATGGTGTGGCTGCTTTGCTAGTGTGGATAATACTTGCGGGTTGTAGTCCCAGTTTATGTGAGTCTCTTGCTGGCTTTGCTCCACTCCTGTGCGGTCTTCTTGATCGGGTGCTTGGGTGTGTCATTTGGCGTGATGGGGATGTTCCATTCCTTTAGGAGCTTGATGCCCTCCTCCGGCGTGAAGAAGGGTTTAAGTGCTCCGCCATATTGGACCAGCATTTTGGTCGGGTAGCCCCATCGGTACTTGGTTCCGTGTTGCCGTAAAGCTTCTGCCACCTGTTGGAAGGTTCTTCTTCTTTTCAGCGTTGCCGCCGATAGGTCGTTGAAAAGTTTTACCGTTGGGTAATATTTGTGCGGTTGATGCGACTCGCCTTGAGGACCAATTCCTTGATGTGGAAGAAATGGGCTCGGAACAACACATCTCGCAGCGCGGAGTCTGGTAAGTATGCCGGCTTGGGGATGCGGTGTATCCGGTCTATCAACATCATGTCTGCTGGAATATCAGGCGCGTAGGCCTTCAACAGGCTTGGAGGTCCGCCTGTTGAACTGATTCCGGTACCCCTCGGAGCCTAATATTGTTCCTCCGTGCCCTATCTTCAGCATTAGCCATCTGTGCTTCTAGCCGTTCCACTTTTCCCTCTAGATGCTGGACATGATCTGCCATGTTGTTGTGGGCGGAAGCGAAGTCCCCCATTTTCTCCTCCATTTGCGATGTGCGGGTTCCCATCTCCTGCATTTCTTTTCTTAAGGTATCGTCTGTTTGCTGCCATGAGGTTATTAGTTTGCTGGACAGTGTGTCCAGTGCTTGTGCCAGGAAGGTTTTTGTAATGTGGTCGGCCTGAGCATGCTCCGCCAAGGAGAGGCTTGTGTCCGAATCTCCGTCGCCATCTTGGGCGTCTTGTGGCGAGGCCGCTTGCGAAGTTTGGCTTTTATGGCCGAAAAAGTTGATTTTGTCAGTTTTAGGGGCTGATTTTTTTGTTCTGTGGTGAGACATCACCGCAGGATTCGCAGTTTCGTGATAATTTACGCCTTTTGATGCTAGGTTGTGAGAGCTCAGTGCCGGAGCAAGTCCTTATGTGGCCATCTTGCTCGGTGGTCAGCCACGCCCCGCCATGATGCATATTTTTAAAGTTACAGTATAGGTGTAAAAAGTGTACTTTTTCCGGCCTGTGATAAATTACATTAACCCATTGTGTTCAGTAATTATATCATAGGCAGAGGGGAGGGATTGTATGTTGGGGCCGGGTGTGTTTTACGGTTTTCCTGTAAATGATTGGTTGTACTGTGTCCCACCCTGTGGTATGTCCCCTTGCATGGGGACTTGCATAAAAGCCAGTGTGTGGTCATTAAAAGCAGATCATCTTGTACCTTCATGAAGTTTCGGCTCATGTTTGGGGGATTGGAGAACTACACTCTGGGGATTGCTATAATCACTATACTCCCCAGGGTATAATCACTAAGCTCTGCCAAGAGCTTGTTCCTGTTCCTGCTCTCTGGAATTCGGAGAGGTCGACCTACTGGAAGCTGGACCCTGGTCTTGGGTCTAGAGTGGGTGGAGACGGCGAGACCCCAACCAAGCTGCGGCGGTTCGTGGGGTCTGCAGTGGTTATGGTGTCGGGCAGAGTGTTTGGAGTCCTCGGAAAGCACTAGGAGAATCTGTCAGCGGAAGGTACCCGTTCGGGGTGCCAGCGGTTCCGTTACACACTGGACCAATTTGTATGATTTTGACATATGTTTGTATACTGCATATGCTGGTTCAGAATATAAGTAAGTTTTATGTGAATATGATGTATACTTTTAAAGTTATGAATATTGTTTAAAACTGTATATTTTCCTAACTGTGATAATTGCGTTAGCCCATTGTGTCCAGTAATTATATCACAGGCAGAGGGGAGGATTTTGCTGTAATGAATGGGAGTGTCAGACATTGTTGTATTGTTTTGATTGGTTTGTGTCCTTTGCATGCCTGTGTATCATCAGGTCCAGGGGGTGTGCCTCTGGCCTGGGGAATTGTATAAATTGTGAGTGCTTGCTTCCATTAAACAGAACTACTTGACCCTTTCTTGAAGCCTTGGCTCATGTTTGGGGGATGCTGGAAGTGGGGTCTGCAGTGCTGATGGTGTCGGTTGGAGTGCTTGGAGTCCCCGGCAAGCGCTAGGAGCATCGATTGGTGGAGGTACTTGGTTAGAGTGCCAGCATTCCGTCACAATTATTTTGTCTCTGAGGAAGTCTACCTGGAGTTGAAGAAACGCGTTAGATATCCTGAATTTTTATGTTTGTTGATTTTATACTTTTCATCACCAAAGGCTTTATATTGCCTAAATAAATATATTTTTTTTTATCTGATTCCTAATTTTGTTCGCTGAAGTTCCTGCTCTATACAAGTCACTGCTACAAAGCAAAGGAGGAGCGGGGAACATAATTTTTAATCCACAGACTTGTGAGTGCAATCAGTATTTGCCATATTATATTTATGTTACAATACATCACTGTGTGTTGTTTATTTTTTATGTTTTAGTGATCAAGCTGTATCCCATATTTGTATACAACATACTGTAGGTCCGGTTCTGATGCTCACATCCGCACTTTCGGCGGTGAACAGGGGTCATCAAGGGCACTCTGACCTGTCTGCGGCTACGCAGTCCCATATGCTGCAAACTGCCATGTACTGTGTGTTATGACAACTTTGTGTCATGGCCAGCATTAGGTTTTAGAGCATTTTGAGTTACAGTAGCTCCTCTGTGTGATCGAACCAGATGGGCTAGCCTGTACTCCCCTTGTACATTACATAGTTACATAGCTGAAAAGAGACTTGCATCCATCAAGTTCAGCCTTCCTCACATTTGTTTTTTGCTGTTGATCCAAAAGAAGGCAAAAACCCAGTTTGAAGCACTTCCAATTTTGCAACAAGCTAGGAAAAAATGTCCTTCTTGACCCCAGAATGGCAGTCAGATTTATCCTTGGATCAAGCAGTTATTACCCTACATTGTAAGATTATATCCTTGAATATTCTGTTTTTGCAAGTATGCATCTAGTAGCTGTTTGAACATCTGTATGGACTCTGATAAAACCAGTTCTTCAGGCAGAGAATTCCACATCCTTATTGTTTTTACAGTAAAAAAACCTTTCCTTTGCCTTAGACGAAATGTAGGACCACTACAGACACCCAGATCACATCAGCTCAATGAAGTGGTCTGGGTGCCAGGTCCCTCTAGTTTTAACCCTGCAGCTGAAAACATAGCAGTTTCAGAAAAACTGCTATGTTTCACTGAGGGTTAATCCAGCCTCTAGTGGCTGTCTCATTGACAGCTGCTAGAGGAGCTTCCGCGATTCTTCCTATGGGCGGTTTGAATGCGCGCGCGGCTCTTGCCGCGCATGCGCATTCGGAGCTGAGAGGCGGATCGGGGCGGAGAGATCCCCAGCGCCAAGGGAGTCCGGCGCTGGAGAAAGGTAAGTGCTGAAGCCACACACACTCTCACGAACAGTCGCATACACACTAGCTAACAGACACACACACACTCTCTCACGAAGAGACGCATACACACTAGCTAACAGACACACACATTTACTGACAGACAAACACTCAGTGACAGACATACACACTGACAGACAGAGACATACACACTCACAAAACACACACTCACTAACAGACACCAAACAGACTCACTAACAGACACACACAGTAACACACTAACACACACACTCTAACACTAACACACACACACACACTAACACACTTACCTGTGGGAGTGCTGAGGGGATTCCCTGGGGTCCAGTGGTATCACCCGACTGGCAGGCGCGCGAGGGAGCACTCTTCCCTGAGTGCTCCCTTGCGCGTCGCGTACTTGCTCCGGCTCCTGTATCAGTGCGGTGCGCAAGGGTGCTGAAGAGGGAGCACACGGGGAGAGTGCTCTCTCGCACGCCCGCCAGCCGGGTGACACCAGGACACTCCTGGGCCCCCCCGGGAGAAGAGGCTGGACACAGTGGGTACATACTGCGACCCCGATATGTACGCCACCGATGACAACTCTTTGTACTCTATTTTTAAGCCAATGTTCTAACCAAGAACAAGCATTTTCATCTAGACCGATTTCCTTGAGTTTGAACATTAAGGATTTTGAACCCTTTTTGAATATAGGAACCACATCTGCCTTCCTCCAATCCTCGCGAACACTTCCTGAAAGAAAAGAATCTTGAAAGATTAAAAACAGAGGTTCACTTATTTCTACAATTAGTTCCTTAAGTACTCGTGGATGGATACCGTCAGGCCCTGGATCTTTGTTTATATTAACTTTCTTTAGTTGCTGCAGCACCTTGTTTTGAGTTAACCAATTACAATTATTCTGCAAGTTTTTAGTAGCAATCATTTGCACATCGATTGCCATGGGTTCTTCCTTAATATATACAGAGGAGAAATAGTTGTTTAAAATTCCTGCCTTTTCCTGGTCTTCATTAACTAACACCCCCATTTCAGTTTTTAGTGTACCTAAACTTACATTTTTTGTTTTTTTAGAATTTATATTCCTAAAAAATGCTTTGGGGTACATCAATGAGTCTTTTCACCGGTTGTTCTTCCTTACACCAGTTTTGGTAGGTGTTAACCACTGCATACTGGGAGCACACCACCAGACTTGCTTTGATCCAGTCATCAAGCTATCACTATTTTTCCTGTGTCAAAGTCACTCTTTTCAATCTTTTAGTTTACCTATTGTAATGATATTGATGTGACAAAGTTTTGGAGTCCAGTAGCCAGATCAGCAATGTTTTCTGCCAGAGGTAGCCACTCGTTACCCAGGTGGTTGAGCCCCTGAGCCTTGAGTGGCCTTCTGGTCTTAAGCAGAGATGGGAGACTGGAACAGAAAGATGATAATCGTAGTGAGGCAAGCCGAGGTCAGTGGGAAGGAGAAGCAGCAAAGTCAAAACAGTCCAAATTCAGCAACAGGAAGGAGAAACAAGAACACGCTTGATTAGAGAGTACAGGAACCACAATAATCTGGCAAAGGTACAGAGACAGGAAGTGGCTTTTATAGGCCAAGAACCAGACACCTGACCAGACACAGCTGAAGAGAGTTGTCACTGATAACCTTGACTCTACAAGCAATGGTATCAGATCTCAGGTAAATTTGCAAAAGGCAGGCTGGTGTACTGGTAAGGAAGATGTTTAGCACCATGTAAACCAGGGTTTGAAACCCAGCAGAGTCAGTTCCTCACATTACCTCCACCTCTACAGGCGCAGCCTCTGGATGCCCTATTTCCTGGTTTAGCAGGGTACTGTGCATGGAAAGATCAGGAGCGTGAATATTGTCCACTGGTTCCCATGATCTATCCTCCTCACCATAGCCTTTCCAATAAAACAAATATTGAAGCTTGTTGCGGAAGATCCTGGAGTCAAGAATTTTTTCCACCTCGTATTCATCTTCACCATCCACGAGGACTGGAGGTGGGGCAGGCAGGGCTCGACCAGGGAAAGTATTTTCATGAAAAGGTTTAAGCAGTGCCACGTGAAACACCGGATGTATTTTCATGGAATCCGGAAGTTGCAGACGGAAGGTGACTGCATTGATCTGAGCGATGATCTCAAAAGGTCCCATGAACTTTTGACCCAATTTATGAGAAGGAATCCTAAGCTTAAGATTCTTTGTTGACAGCCAAACCTTGTCACCAACATGATAAACTGGGGCCTCCTTTCTGTGCCTATCAGCAGCTCTTTTGTAACATTCCTGAGCCTCCGAAAGAGTCTCCTTCAACAGTTCTTGGGAATCTCGTAAGGCGGTTAGCCGGTCAGTGACTGCAGGAATGGGAGTAGTAATTGGGAGACTCACTAGAAAGGTTGGATGGTAACCATAATTGGCAAAAAATGGGCTCAGAGAAGTGGAGCAGTGTTGGGCATTGTTATAGGCAAAC